CCGGGGGCCGGGAGCCGCGCTCCGCACCGGGGATGGGGTGGGACGCGCGGGTGGCCGGGCTGTTCTGCAGGAACCTGCAGCCCACCCTCACCTACTGGAGCGTCTTCTTCAGCTTCGGCCTCTGCATCGCCTTCCTGGGGCCCACCCTGCTGGACCTGCGCTGCCAGACCCAGAGCTCGCTCTCGCACATCACCTGGGTCTTCTTCTCGCAGCAGTTCTGCCTCCTGCTCGGCAGCTGCCTCGGCGGAGCCTTCAAGCGAACGTAAGGCGGCCGGCGAGCTCCGGGCTCCCCGGCACCCAGCGCCGGCCGCTCCCGCTCCTGGGGACAGGGAAATTTCTCCACGTGGCTTGGCCAGCGCTGGAAAGGCGCCTGGTGGGGACCGCTTGGCTGGGAGCGAAGGTGGCGCTGGCGCTTTTGCTGGACCAGCCTCCCCCCCCGGTATCTTTCGTTTTCCTCCAGCGCTTCCCCTGCTGCCTTGAAACGCTGCGCTGCCCCGTCCCGGTCTGGCTCCCCTTCCGTCTGGAATCGGGGCTTTTCATTCTCCTCCGGCCCCTCTCCCCCCTGCGTCTCTCCTCTGGTGCTCATGCTGCGCTCTGGGACTCAAAGCGTAGAGCCCTAGGGCTGGAAGAGACCTCAGGAGTCACCGAGTCCAGCCCCGTGCCCAAGGCAGGACCAATCCCAACTAAATCAACCCAGCCAGGGCTTTGTCAAGCCGGGACTTGAAACCCTCTAGGGATGGAGATTCTGGGAGACAGGCTGTCCGAAAAGTCCTGCGCCAACTAACAGCTTTGTAACAGCCTAACCTGGACCGGCAGCCCCCATTCACATCCTTAGCTCTATTGAAATTCGCCGGAGAATAAAGGCTGCAGGTTTCATTCTGCAGGGTCCATCCAGCTAGTGCCTTGCGCAGTGTGGCGGGCCATTGATTTTTACTAGGGCTCATTGCAGAGATGGGGCGTGCAGGGGGGAGATTGTAGATCTTACTCGGGACTCCCCAGTAAGTGTGTTTATTTAACCTGATCATTTAAAAACATTGTGGAGAGCCTGTTTTAATAACCCCAGGGCCAGCCAGCAAGCTGTTCGCTTACGCTCCGGGAGTTTGGGCAAACAAGATTCAACCTCAGATAATAATGCTCTAAACATGAAGTTGCTACGGGGTTGAAGAGAATAGAGTCTGTTTCACATAAGGCATGTGGGTGAGTGACCAGCAGTCACAAATCCGTGAGGCCGACAAGTGCAGCCAGGCAGGGAGTTGTAGCAAATCTTGCGCTAAGATCTCTCCAAACTAGAAAATGTGCAGCAACACAGTTAAAGGTTTCCAAACAGGTGTCAGCTTAGAGTAGATGACAGCTATTGCATATGAAAATCAATTGCTTGTTGTCCTGTGGCACCTTAGAGACTCACAAAAATATATAAAGTATCATCAGCTTTCCTGGGTAAAACCCACTTCTGCAGATGAGTTGGAGGGGAAGTAACAGAAACCAAGAGAGAGAGAGATCAGCAAAAAAAAGTGCCTGTCAATTTGTAGGACCAGCGCTAATGAGGCTAAGTAAGTGGGTTGGAAGTGTCCCATTCTTAGCTTTGGTTGTAAAAATGCAGTTGTTAAAGGCAGGGGAGCCTGGCTTTATAATGCAACGTCCAATTAATGTCTTTGTTCAAGATCAGGGAAATAGTGTCAAATCAGTAGATGAATATCAATTCTGCACTCTCTCTCTCTCTCTCTCTCTCTCTCTCTCTCTCTCTCTCTGTCATTGGCTGATGACATTCCTTTGTAGAAGAATGGCCACATTAAAATCCATGACAGAGTGACCAGGCAGGTTAAAATGTTCCCTTACAGGTTTATGTGTGTCACCATAATCAATGGGTTATTTAAGAAGTTATTCATCCGTGTAGCTGAATTTTGTAGAAGTGGGGGTGTTCATGTGTGTGTCTCTGTCATTACTTGCATGATTCTCTTAGGAGTAGAAAGTGTTTATTAGAAAGTGGTTTAAAACTGTTCTCTTGACTTGTGAAGGAGGCATTCTGGGGAGAACTCTGATTAGTACCTGTCAAGGGACTTGGAATTGACTGGAGGTGAAATTGCCAGCCTCATTGAGCTGCACTGATATCATTTTGAGTAGAGGAGCCCCAGGCTGTGTGCTTGGAGGGGAAATAGCCCTAGAGGAGATCAGCAGAAGTATCTTGACCAGGAGGCTGCACTGCTTGTCAGGTCAGGGTGGGACATGTTGGAAGGGGACAGGGTATGGGAAGCTTGCCCTGCCTGTGAAATGGATAGTGGATTTCAGACTCAGCTCAGTATCTTTTGCCAGCACTACTTCTACTAGCCTGTGCATTCGAAGGTGAGATTAGGTAAATGCGGACCTATGATTACTCAGTCAGGAGTGCCATATTCATGTTGATTCTTCCTGGTGTCCAGCCTGTGCAACATGGACCTCTTAAGATTTCCCTAAGAATGGATTTTTGCTGTCTTGGATTTTTAATCCTGCGTGGAGCAAAATACTGCCTTAATAACCCAAGACACCTATGTGTGGCTCTTCACAGCCCAGGCAACATGCTTAAAACAGTTGCTGAAATTCCTAATGGGAAGTGGTGGGTATTTGGGGCAGGAGGGGTATTTCCCACATGTCCAGGGCACACTGAGCAGCATTACAGAGCTAACTTTGAAATGAGCAATGGCACTCCATTTTACATATATTAAACATTAGCTATTTAAATCCCACAGAGTCCTGATGCGGTTTGTATTATGCCCATTTTACAGATAGGAAAACTGATGCACATGGTGGTAAAATGACTCTAGAAGTCATGGTCTGCTAGAGTGGGGTAGGATTGTAAAGGCTAGAACTCAGGAACACCTGTCTCCCAGCCTGCTGGTCAGAGCACTAGGCTATACTGCCTAGACTGAAACAACTGACAGCTTCTGCTAAAGCTTGCTAAGGCCCCATTGACATGACTGTCACAATCAAGACAGGAGACCTGGTTCTAATTTGTAGAATAGATGGCATCTGTGCTTTGTTCTTATCTGGGATAAATCTTTGGACATGGATCTGGTTTTCCCTGCTCTACAGAATTGAATGCTATAATTAACTCAAGGCATAACTATGCTGTTAACTTGGCCACTGGCTGTAACTGCAGTGTAGATGGGGTTCCAGATGTCCTTTGGTTCCTCTAACCAGAGAGCTTAATAACATAGGGCCCAACTCTGCTGTTATGTAAGCTCCTGAAATCTAGGAGTGTGCAGGCATGTAACGTGACCTAGATTGGTATGGAAGGATCCGTGTCTCGTACACCCTCGGAGTAATCTTACTGAACCTGGGAGCTGCTGGTTCAGCCAACTGCTGGCATCCTCTGTGCTGAAAATGTAGGAGGAGACATGCCTTATATAACTGCAAGGAACCAAATTCAGCTAAAAGTGTGAGCCTATTCATAGAGTTGGCATGTCCCTGTCTTATGATTCAGGGTGCTTATAGTTTTTGTAGGGCACCGCGGTTAGGGAGTGCAGAAGAAGATAGCTTTTTACAAGAGGAACAGGAATGCGTGGATGGTGACAGGTTTTGAGGATACCACATGGCCTGGATCGCACCTTAACACTCCCTTAGCTTAGTTAGATGCTAAATGCTGCCACATCCCTTAGGGCACATTAGGTTTAGGTGCCTCTTCCGCTTGGCTGCTTGGCTTTGTGTGAGCAGCCCTGGAAAAGCATTAAAGAAGCCCATTTTATTGTGTTCTCTGGGCCAGATTTTCAGATGAGCGGGTTCCCGCTGTGAACTGAGCATGTGCAAAAATCTGGCCAGAAGGGTCACCCTGGGAGCTGCAGAGTATGGAGCCTTCCTGCCAATCTGGCCCTGATCTAGATACTTCAATAAGAGCTGTGCTCTTTGGAAAATCCGGCTCTGACAGTGGGTGGCGCGGGAGGCTAGGAAACCTGGCCCACAGCTCTTTTGAGAAGCTGTCGCCCTCCCTCTCTGCTTCCCCCACCTTCCTCGCTTGCTGTAACTTCTGATGGCTGGATTTTAAGACTCGGCCCTGCCACTGTGAAAACTGATTTTATTTTCTCCTCCACCTGGCACTCCTCTGCATGGCTCTTCTGTGGCTGTCTAGTCTCCGCTCTGCTGCCGCTCCCATTGTAGTGGTATCCCGGCTCCTGCCCC